TTCCGCCGCTTGTAACACGGAAATTGTTCTTATTCTTCGGGCTTTTGACATTGCTATATTATAAAACAAATATAAAACATTTTTTCCGTATTGATATATAGTTATATCAACACTCGTGGAAGTTGGGAAAACTCGAAATTGTGCGAAAACACTCCGCCCTTCGGGCGTCGTGTTTCCATACAATTTCTCGTTTTCCCAATTCCACTCGTGTTGATATAACTGTATATCAACACGGAAAATGTTTTATATTTGTTAATTGTTATATAGCTAGTGTGAACACCAAACGTGATTGGCTGATTTGTAGTCACGTGGCTTTAGATAAATGCAATGTATCCCGCCCGGACAATAAGTGAAAAATTGTTGCCCACCCCGACCGGCTACGTACATAAATAAACAAAACAGGATATGCTGCTGAAACCATTTAAGTAGGTTTTTAAAATTTTAAACTCGTTTACGCTATAGAGTTTTTGTCATGAAATACAAAATTACAAATATTGTTGTATGAATGTTGTTCACTGTTGATATTTGTTTCGTCGCTATATAACAAAACACTTAACGTCTTTTCCCTCGGGAAATAGTTAGTTTTGTTTTCCCTCGTATCTCAATGGTTCCCTCGACTTCGTCTCGGGAAACATTGAGATTCTCGGGAAAACAAAACTAACTATTTCCCGAGGGAGCAGACATTAAGTGCATAATAGTATTATCTCCCATCTTCAAAACCATTAATGTTTTTGTAAAAAAACTTATTGTGGTTCTCCGAAGAGAAAGCGAGATGAAACCGTCAATGGACCTATTCCCTAATGAACAGAATTTTGATCTAGACAAGTCTAGACAAAAATTTCATCACAGCTTGAAAGAGCATCACAAAATTAGTAATATTCCGAAGTTTCGTTGCGAAATGTTGTAAAATGCGGATAATACAGCCTTGCGAAGTTTGCCGTTTTTCAGTCATTTTGTATTACGCACGGGAAATTGATACCTTTTTTCAGAAAGCGGTATATCAATTTCCCGTGCGTAATACAAAATGACTGAAAAATGGCAAACTTCGCAGGGCTATATTATGCGCATTTTACAACATTTCGCAACGAAACTTTGGAATACTACTAATTTTGTGATGCTCTTTCAAGCTGTGATGAAATTTTTGTCTAGACTTGTCTAGATCAAAATTTTGTTCATTAGGGAATAGGTCCATTCACGTATACTGTACCTTAGCGGCCTTTGTTGCCTCATTCTTTACAACCTCTTGTAGTCCCTTCCTCGTACCAGGCTCCGCGAATGGCGATGGAGCACGGCTGTTGCTAGGCGACGCTACAGATGCCGCGGCACTCTTTTCGTTAACCTTCCCAGCATTCTTTGCGGCGCGTTTGGTGACCATTGACTTTAACAATTGTTCTCTTAAAGCTAATTCACTCGCTTCGTCTTCGACTTCTAAATCAGCTTGCTGGGTTAAATTGAGAGAGTTTTGCTCCAAAGTTTGAGTGGTATTGTTTTCATTTGGTCGTATTTCTGTGTTTTCGTGCGCTCTGTGAATACCTGAACACAGAATTGAAAAATTGAGCGCATTAGAACTGATAGAGCTATCCAGTATAAATAAAGTTAGTTTAGTTGAGGTTTCCTCCTGTAGTCACACTGGATCAATAAGAGATGATCCTTACTGGACCTCTAGGAAGAACAGTTTAGAACTGATAGAGCTATCCAGTATAAATAAAGTTAGTTTAAGTTTCCTCCTGTAGTAACACTTGATCAATAAGAGATGGTCCTTACTGGACCTCTAGGAAGAACAGTTTAGAACTGATAGAGCTATCCAGTATAAACACAGTTAGTTTAATTTAGGTTTCCTCCTGTAGTAACACTGGATCAATAAGTGATGATCCTTACTGGACCTCCGGGGAGAACAGTTTAGAACTGATAGCGCTATGCAGTATAAATAAAGTTAGTTTAGTTTAGGTTTCCTTCTGTAGTAACACTGGATCAATAAAAGATGATCCTTTCTGGACCTCTAGGGAGAACAGTTTAGAACTGATAAAGTATATAACGTAAACCTTACTTTCATGAATTGTGGCAGACTGTTCTGTAAAGTACGGCTGTGTAGCATGAGATAACTCTGGACCGCCCCACCACAGACTCCCATAATCATGAAAATAGCCATATGGCTTCTAGAATTTATACACAATAAATTACAATTAGTGATTGACCGATTGTGCCACAATTGGAAATCATGCCTGTATATTTAGTTTTTTTGCAGTTAGCCCGGCATTTGAAAACGGAGTTCTGGCATTTGAAAACACAGTCCTGGCATTTGAGAACGGAGTTCTGGCATTTGAAAACGGAGTTCTGGCATTTGAAAACCGAGTTTTGGAATTTGAAAACGGAGTTCTGGCTTTTGAAAAGGGAGTTCTGGCATTTGAAAACGGAGTTCTGGCATTTGAAAAGGGAGTTCTGGCATTTGAAAAGGGAGTTCTGGCATTTGAAAACGGAGTTCTGGCATTTGAAAACTGAGTTTTGGAATTTGAAAACGGAGTTTTGGAATTTGAAAGCGGAGTTCTGGCATTTGAAAACGGAGTTTTGGCATTTGAAAACGGAGTTCTGGCATTTGAAAACGGAGTTTTGGCATTTGAAAGATGAGTTCTGGCATTTGAAAACGGAGTTTTGGCATTTGAAAACCGAGTTTTGGAATTTGAAAACGGAGTTCTGGCTTTTGAAAAGGGAGTTCTGGCATTTGAAAACGGAGTTCTGGCATTTGAAAAGGGAGTTCTGGCATTTGAAAAGGGAGTTCTGGCATTTGAAAACGGAGTTCTGGCATTTGAAAACTGAGTTTTGGAATTTGAAAACGGAGTTTTGGAATTTGAAAGCGGAGTTCTGGCATTTGAAAACGGAGTTTTGGCATTTGAAAACGGAGTTCTGGCATTTGAAAACGGAGTTTTGGCATTTGAAAGATGAGTTCTGGCATTTGAAAACGGAGTTTTGGCATTTGAAAACCGAGTTTTGGAATTTGAAAACGGAGTTCTGGCTTTTGAAAAGGGAGTTCTGGCATTTGAAAACGGAGTTCTGGCATTTGAAAAGGGAGTTCTGGCATTTGAAAAGGGAGTTCTGGCATTTGAAAACGGAGTTCTGGCATTTGAAAACTGAGTTTTGGAATTTGAAAACGGAGTTTTGGAATTTGAAAGCGGAGTTCTGGCATTTGAAAACGGAGTTTTGGCATTTGAAAACGGAGTTCTGGCATTTGAAAACGGAGTTTTGGCATTTGAAAGATGAGTTCTGGCATTTGAAAACGGAGTTTTGGCATTTGAAAACCGAGTTTTGGAATTTGAAAACGGAGTTCTGGCTTTTGAAAAGGGAGTTCTGGCATTTGAAAACGGAGTTCTGGCATTTGAAAAGGGAGTTCTGGCATTTGAAAAGGGAGTTCTGGCATTTGAAAACGGAGTTCTGGCATTTGAAAACTGAGTTTTGGAATTTGAAAACGGAGTTTTGGAATTTGAAAGCGGAGTTCTGGCATTTGAAAACGGAGTTTTGGCATTTGAAAACGGAGTTCTGGCATTTGAAAACGGAGTTTTGGCATTTGAAAGATGAGTTCTGGCATTTGAAAACGGAGTTTTGGCATTTGAAAACGGTGTTCTGGCATTTGAAAACGGAGTTTTGGCATTTGAAAACGGAGCTTTTGGCTTTTGAAAAGGTAGTTCTGGCATTTTGAAAAGGGAGTTTTGGCATTTGAAACGGAGTTCTGGCATTTGAATACGGAGTTCTGGCATTTGAAAACAGAGTTTTGACATTTGAAAAAGAAGTTCTTGCTTTTGAAAACGGAGATCTGACAAATATACAGGCAAACAAACAGACAGTCAAACAAACAGACAAATAGGCCCCGGTGGACATAGAGACATTCGTTGATCTTCGATTTTTTTTCTTGAAATGCAGCCGTTGTATCAAGACGTAAAAATTAGCCTGCGTAGCAGGCGTTTAGTGCGGGCGGGAGAAGAGAGGGCGTCGTTACTAAACGCCTGCTACGCAGGCTAGATTTCCACGGAAGGCGTCTACATTTATATGGAAGGCATGTATAACATTTCTATGGAAGGCATCTACATTTGTACGGAAGAAGTCTACATTTGTACAGAAAGCGCCTAAGTATATTTCTGCGGAAGTCGTCTGAATTTTCGAGGGAAACGCCGCACATTTATACAGAAACGCTCTGTTATTAAGGAAAACTACTTCAAGTACACAGAACGAACGTGATTTTCTACGGAAGAAGCATGTCCTTTTATAACGGGACACCGTACCACTGGACCAACAACTTTCCACTGAATTGTTAATTTCAACGAACTTGGGAACAAGTTTGCAACGAACTTGGGAACAAGTTTGCAACGAACTTGGGAACAAGTTTGCAACGAACTTGGGAACAAGTTTGCAACGAACTTGGGAACAAGTTTGCAACGAACTTGGGAACAAGTTTGCAACGAACTTGGGAACAAGTTTGCAACGAACTTGGAAACCGCGCGTTGAAAAGCGACTTTTACAAGCGTAAAAATCACCGATTCACGACAAACCCTTCACGACAGGTTCGCGAAAGCTACAACCGTATATACCCTTTTCATAAATGGCTGCCGATTAAAAATTCTTTTATGTGCATATACTGCGGATTTCGATTTCCCGTTTCAGGGCTTCCGTTTCCAGTGATTGTTTTTCTGTTAAAACGAACAAGTTGCTAAGGGCCAATGTCAATGTTACTAAGTGAAGTCTAGTGGTCTTTGTCCGTTGTTTACTTATCCGTTGTTTATCATTTGTGAATGTAACTGTTATATTCGTATTTATCTCGTCATTGGCAACATTTTGATATGTAATTTACGAAGCTTTGTGGATCATTTCATGTTTTTATTGATATTTTGGAAATTGTAGCGTATAAAAGGCCAGTAAATAATTTTGAAGCCTTTTATAAGCTACAATTTCCAAAATATCAATAAAAACATGAAATGATCCACAAAGCTTTGTAAATTATATATCAAAATGTTGCCAAAGACGAGATAAACACGAATATAACAGTTACATTTACAAATGATAAACAACGGACAAGAAAACAGCGGACAAAGACCACTAGACTTCACTTAGTAACATTGACATTGACCGTTAGAAATGTGTATGTTTCAACGGGAAAACAATTACCGGAAATTAAAGCGCTGAAACGGTAAATCGAAATACGAAGTAAATTGGCCCAACTAGCCTCGTTTCTGGGTAGAAATTCCTTTGAAATCTTAACGTGAGTACGAGGCTAGTTGGGCCAATTAACCAATTTATATGCACATAAAAGAATTTTTAATCGGCAGCCATATATTTATGAAAAGGGTTGTATGGAAGCCAGGTTTTATAGCAGCGACTTACAACATCCATCAGAGGTATGATGCGTGACGTCGCCGATATCTGCGATTCTTCCCCAGGGGGTGGGGGTTGTGGAAGATCTATTTGGGGTAGAGGGGGATGCAATTCTTCTATCATCCCAGCACTTTCTAGAAATACAAATAAAATCATCTGTTACGTAAACTAAAATGATAAACTAGCCAAGGGTGCTGTTATAAAAAAATTGTTGTATTTACACACAGATAATGGACCATTTGCATTATAGACTAAATTTTGATCCAGACAAAAATTTCATCACAGCTTGAAAGAGCATCACAAAATTAGTAATATTCCAAAGTTTCGTTGCGAAATGGTGTAAAATGCGGATAATATAGCCTTGCGAAGTTTGCCGTTTTTCAGTCATTTTGTATTACGCACGGGAAATTGACAGACCAATCGGGTGTTGGGGCATCAATTGACCACTTGCGTAATAGACTAAATTTTGATCTCAACAAAAATTTCATCACAGCTTGAAAGAGCATCACAAAATTAGTAATATTCCAAAGTTTCGTCGCGAAATGTTGTAAAATGCGGATAATATAGCCTTGCGAAATTTGCAATTTTCAGTCATTTTAGATTACAAACGGGAAATTGACAGCCTCAAAGCGTATCGATCGGGGCTGTCAATTTCCCGTTTGTAATCTAAAATGACTGTAAATTGCAAACTTCGCAAGGCTATATTTTCCGCATTTTACGACATTTCGCAACGAAACTTTGGAATATTACTAATTTTGTGATGCTCTTTCAAGCTGTGATGAAATTTTTATATAGACTTGTCTAGATCAAAATTTAGTCTATTACGCAAATGGTCAATTTCCCGTTTGTAATACAAAATGACTGAAAATTGCAAATTTCGCAAGGCTATATTATCAGGGGTTTCAGAATAAGCCGGCGGCCGGCGGAGTTCCGCCGGTTACTTGAACTTTTACCGCCGGCTACTTTTCGTCAGGTCACAGGAAAAAATTTATATACAAAAGTACAAGCGAACCAACACAATGTTTGTTATGTTCCAATTGGAATTCAAGTTGGCCTCGAATTTCCCTGAAATCAATTGACGGCAATGGCGTTAAAAAATGCCGTAGAACGTAACAGCTGTCTATGGCAATTTTGTGAGTTTCCACGGCATTTTTTTTTCAAATTGCTGTAATAAAAATTTTACTTTATTGTACAGACTTTGGATTGCTGACAAGCTAGAAACATGGCAGTTTACGTATTTTTTTAGTGTTTGTTTTTCGAAGAAAACTGAGACTGAAATAGTAATTTACGCATGATTTGATCAACATCTGAATTCAAGTATGAAAATAGTAATGCACAGTGAACATGAGTTTAAAAATACTATACGGCAAAAAATTGCCGTTATTGCCGCAATGATCCAAAGCATTTTGTTCTCCCTCTACAGTAATTGCCGTGATAAAATTCAAGCCCTGAATTCAAGCAAAACATCACTTCTTTTGGAAGATCAATAAGATAAATTATAATACATAGTACCAAACATAGCAAAAGAAAGAAGAAGTGGTGAAGTGAAGTTCATTACGTACATAAATATAACATCATTTGATTAATGATTTCGGACTCATAAAATAATTACTATTACTGTAGTGTACATTGTCATTCTGTTCATGCAGCTGTAAAAATTAAACTACAAGTAGCACATTAAAGTACATTGTCACTTACAAGTATAAGGGACGGACCATTTGATTTTTAAGGGGGGGAGGGTTGAAAGATTTCGGAAAAAAAACATTCATGCAATCCAAGGAGAAAGAAAAAAAAATCATGCACCATACAATCGAGGAAAAAATATATCATGCAAAAGAAAGCGCTCAAAAAAAAATTCCTACATGTAAATCTACTGACGTTCTTCACTTCAGTATTGTGTCCACAGGCTTGCAAGATTTTGCATTCTTGAGCAGGCACATTTGCTAAAAAGAACACTGGGTGAACAGTGGACAACATCACAGGGATTCTGGTGCCTTTGGAGTCTATAACATACGATAGCCAGTGGCGTTCCCTGGCAAAATTGTTGCCCCCCCCCCTGAGAAAATCTGGGCTTAAGATATGTACAAGTTTATAAGTTATTTATACACATCTAATATGCATGGTAGAAAAAGTATTTTTGGATGGTTGAGTCTGTGTGCGTTTTTTGATAACATAACTCCAAACTATTAAAGCTTTAAAGGCCCATCTACAGGATGCAAGTTGAACGTACTGTATATACGATGATTTTAATGCGAAAATTCCAGTTTAGAGAGTCTAGATTTTAAAATATTTCTGA